CTCCTTTAAGGGATCTAAAGGGGTTCTTGAAGGGGATCTTTGTGGGTTTCTTTGGGGGATCTATAAGGGTTCTCCTCAACCCCTTGTGCTGAACCCTCAACTGCTAACCCTACACCCGAGACCCTAAATCCATGCATCATGAACTCTTAACCCAAAAACCCGACATCCTGAACGCAGCTTCATTTTCCCGAAGCCTGTCGTATGCATCTTGCTATTCGCGGAGTGACGCAAATCCTGATTTCCGGATGAGAATCATGAATGAAATGGGTAGTTCTATAAATTAGGGTCCCTTTTCAGGTCCCCCAAAATAGTACGGCACCCTTATAAACAGGAGCCCCAAAGTGGCCCTAATTTAGAGAACTAATCCAAATCTACTCGGTTTAAGCCTTGACCCTGACCCAAGGATCCCTCGCAGACAAGGCGTACAACCGATCATGTTAGGACCTTAAAATCCTAAGATCCTAAATTAGAGAATTCATGTAGGGGCATTAATTATTCCCTCTACTATTTTGGGACCTGATGATGATTATACTATAATATACCCCAAGCCCTATTCTAATTCTTCAGGCCCCTGCATTCACTGAATCCGGCCAGGATCCAGCCGATATCGCAAAGAATGCAATCGCGCATGCAAAGGCGAACGGCCCGGGCCCCACTGCTTCTTGCACAGGGGCAAGGTGGAGCCTACACAGGGTTTACCTACTGTTGATGATATAAATCCTGCATTACCTTAAGGACCCTAAACCAAGTATATTCCTTATTATGGGTGGGTCATGCAGGATTTATATCATCAGCCGTAGTCATCTTTGACTTTTTTGGGTACTATAATCCCTATATAATTCCAAAGGTTAACCGGTGGTTTCGCTAGGATACGGGACAAGTAAGTTTATGGTTTAGGCCTTTAAGGTGTTAGGGTTTTGGGCGATTCAACCTTCTCAAAACTCCTTGCAGCAACCGAATCACGCAACGGTAAATCCCAGAGAGAGCGAGAGAGAGCGAGAGAGAGAGAGAGAGAGAGAGAGAGAAAAAAAGGAGTTAGAGGGAGCGAAAGAGCGACAGAGAGAGAGAGAGAGAGAGACAGAGATAGAGAGATAGAGAGAGAGACAGAGGCAGAGAGATGCAGAGACGCACATAGGACATGTAAAGTTCGAGGTGTTCACTGCCCCTGCTAGGACAGATTTTGCATTTAATGGACCCCCCCCCCAAACCTATTCTAATCATGACGGCCCTACGTTAAGGGCGTCAAACCCCAGTGAAAATCCTACAGCAAGCCTATAAGTCCAACAAGGCTTAAACCCCAAACCCTAAACCCCAGACACTAAACCCAAAACCCTGCACCCTTAACACCACACCCTAAACCCTAAACCCTGTGTTAGAACCCGTTGATTCGGCACCAAGGTCATGATGTAGTTCTTGTAGATACCGCAGGACGGATGCAGGCGGGGAACTATGAAGGTAAGGGTTTAGGGTTCAGGATTTCGGGTTTAGGGTTTAGGGTTTAGATTTAGGGTTTGGGGTTTCGGTTTTGGAGTTGAGGGTTCTGGGTTCAGGGGATTCTCGAGCTGTGCAGTGTCCCAGAAAGCCTACTCTGCGACGAAGGTCTTGCGTCTTGCGGTTCAGGGTTCCGCGAGTGTCCGGGTGGTCCGGGAAGTTTCGGAAGCTGCTTGATGATATAAATCCTGCATTACCTAAAAAGGACCCTAAACTATTGGAATTACGGCACATTCCTTCCTATGGGTAATGCAGGATATATATATATATATATATATCATCAACCGTAGGGCAGTTTGGGGTGCGGGGTCGAGGGTGCAGGTCGGCATGCCCTGTTTGGGCGTATCTAAGAAGCCTTGCGATGAAGAAACCGCGGGTTCTTGGTGGGGTTCCTCGGCGAATGCGGCCGGCTTAGTTCTATAAATCACGTGCGTACATTAGGATCACTCGGGCGCAGAGTTCATCATCTGAGATGTCTCTGCGAGCTCCCTAAACCCTAAACCCTAAACCCTAAACCCTAAACCCTAAACCCTAAACCCTAAACCCTAAACCCTAAACCCTAAACCCTAAACCCTCGTGAGGACAACGAGCCGCTGATGCGGGCCTTGGCCAAGCTGGTGGCCATCAACACTCCTGATCTTGTCCCGGGCCTAGGTTTCTTAGTTGTTTAGGGTTTAGGGTTTAGGGTTTAGGGTTTAGGGTTTAGGGTTTAGGGTTTAGGGTTTAGGGTTTAGTGTTAAACGATGTCTACACTTAAAATCTAAAACCTTAAACCGATAATTACTTGCTTTGTGGGTTGAAGCTCCGGCTACAGTCCTTCTAGAGCCTGAACTGGACACCTGACATGCCAAACCTAAAGCCAAGACCATGGCTGTGTTGTCATGCCATATGTGCTTCGTGATACTACAAGAATTATCCTTTAACTTCAGGTCCGTATGTATCTGGAATACATGGTTCGTACAGTCTTACAGAGCTCTGCCTGTGGGGATGATGGGTTGGGTTTTCAGATTTCGGGCTTTCCATGCTCTGGTTGTGGGGTTTGGATGCATACGCCAACCTGTTATTCCCATTTCTAAGAATCCCTAAACCCGTAACCCTAAGATTCCCTAAACCCCAAACCCTAAGATTCCCTAAGCCCTAAACCCTGAACCCTAACACTCCCTAAGCCCTAAACCCGAATCCGGTAAGCGGGTGGAGACATCCGCGTCGCCTCTGGGGTTCCTAAGCCGGGGTTTAGGGTTTAGGGTTTAGGGTTTAGGGTTTAGGCCCTAGCAATGCCATACCGCCAGCCCGAAACTCGTAGGGTTTAGGGTCTAGGGTTTGGGGCGGAAGCCAAGACTTCGGAGCTACACTGGACTCGCTCGAAGTTGAGGGTTTAGGGTTAGGGTGATATTCTCCGGGCTCCTACCATAAACACCTGCGCCATTTTACCCTTGGCAGCCGGGTTTGGTCTGAGAACGATCTTTTCATTTTGTAGACAGTAAACCCTAAACCCGTAAACACATAATTTCCTAAACCCTAAACCCTAAACCCTAAACCCTAAACCCTAAACCCAGGCGTCTCGGCCCAGGCTGTAGTTTCTCCTAGGAGTCCAGCCCGGCCGACGTACCCGCGTGTGGCTCTTCCTTTGTGAAGGAGCCCACTGGATTTTTTTCTGACTTCGTCGTTTCTGGGGGTTTTACCTGTTGCTGCAGTTCGCTCTGCCAACGTGGTGGCCCCCCTCGAGGCTTTCCTGGGATCAGTGCATGCGTTTTCCCTCTGCTTTTGCAGTTTGGAGCTGCCTTATCGCGGGAGCCTTTGATTTTGAGGCCGAGCGGTGCAGTGACCGCAACGGCGGGGCGACAAGTGGAGTCGCCAGCACATCGCAGACAGAGGAAGGCCAGGACCAAGGCCAGAGCCCTGCTGCGTGGAGTTCTTGCGGGTTTTGTGAAGTGGGGTCCGAGGGCGGTGCAAGCTCTGAGGGCCGTGGAGACGCACCACTCCAATTCAGAGCTGCCTCAGAGGATCTACAGGTTTCTTTTGCAGCGCCGCAACAACGAAGTCATGAGCGAGGCGTGGAAATGCGGCAAATGCCGCACCATGTGCAAAGCGGCAGCCGCCTACTGCGGAAAATGTGGTGGGCACTGGCAACAGGTGCTCGAGACCAGTTACTGGGCACCGCCGCGTGGAGCGCCGTGGAAGCCCAACCAGGGGTGGAATGGCGATTTTGCCCAGGCACACAGGAGCCCTTCCCCCAGGCGCCGCAGAAAAGGCACTGGGAAGTCCCAGCAGCTTTCCACGGATGGAGGCCGCAGCAGTACAGAGAGTTCGTTTCCACAACTCTCTGCTCTTCCCCAACCTCCTGTGCCCAAACTCCCCGCCAAGCCGGCGACGCCAGCAGCCACAAGTCAGGCGACTTCCAGCACAGGCGAGCCGGACCAGAAACTCATCTCGGAGCTGCTCTCGCTCATCCCGGTCGAGACCCTTCCCGCAGATGTTCAGCGCCGCCTGGGTCAGATTACCCAGGACACTGCCCTCAAGCAGGGCAAAAGAATGCACAAGTTGGTTTCCGAACAGACCCAACTGAAGAAGGAGCTCGAGAAGCTGAAGTCCGACAAGCTGGCCTTTTCTACGGCGTGGGAAAGCTACATTACACAGATGCTGGAAATGTGGCAGCGCCAGAGCGAATCCAGACTTGCCGCTCTGGATGCTTTCGTCGACAAAGAAGCGGACCTCGTCTCCAAGCTCGCTGCAGTTACCAAGGAGCTCGCTGCAGCGACCGCCGCCGAGGCCTCCGAAGGCCACGATGTGGACAAGGAGGACGACTCGGATGTGGAGCTGCAGGCGGCCGAAGATATGGTGGCCACTGCAGCGGCTCAAGAGGCGGAAGTGCGCGAAAGGCACCGGGTCACCAGGGAAAAGATGGTCGAGCAGAACAAGCGGCTGCACGGAATGCTGGAACAGGCCCGGCAAGACGCAGAGGCCGGAGCTGCCAGGGACGGCAGCCGCACGCCACGCCGCAAGGTCAAGGAGGAGCCCAGCGATGGGGAAGTCGTGGACCTGACCAAGCCGTCGCGCCCTGGTGCGGCCCGCACACATGCCTGAGTGGATGGTGCGGGCCGAACGGCCTTCCGCACAGTATTCTGTGCGATGACAGTTTTGTTTCGCCATGGATGGCGGAATTTGTGGCCCTCAATCAAGAATTGGAGGTCACACTCATGAAGGACGAGCTCGATACCCTCTTTCCCTACGCGGAGGATCCGAGGCTGGAGCTTGCCGAGGCTGAAGAAACAGAGCTGCAGCGCAGCCAAGCAGCGCGCGCCGAGTATGACACCAGCGCTGGAATTGAAACGGTGGATCAACCCTTCCAGATTCTCTCGGTGCGCATGCACAGGCCCGGGATTGAGTCCGATGCGGGTTGGTCGCCGTGTTCTCAAGCAGCGTTGGTTGCATACTCCAACTTCTTTGAGGAGGCTCTCGGCTACCACGGGGGTGAGACTGAGAGTGAAAACTGTACAAAGCGGCCAGCGGCTGTACATAGGTTCCCTTATAATGTACAGCCACGGGCGACCCTTTACAATGACACCAGGCAAAGGTGGCTCAATCTTTTCGTGCGGACTGCCCACCGTTTCCTCGGGCGGTCGCATCTCCTTCTCACTATGTCCGAGGCGTACTGGAAGGGCGGTTCCATGTCGGACCCTACAGTACGTCGTGCCACAGGTTCTGAGGACGAGGTTGCAGAGGTTCCCAGGCAGAGATTTTGCAACGCAGCGGAGCTCCTCCCACGAGCCTCCCACCGAGGGGCTCACGTGGATAGCTGCCACACTGCCATCTGCCCCGAGGCTCCGGCCAATTGCACTAAGGACGCTGCCGATGGTACCTCCATCCCGAGCATCAAGGACCCTCTGTCGCAGAGAGTGCAGCATTTGGCTTGCACCTCGCCCGTCCGCCGTCCCTCTCCTGCCCCACCACCGCAAGGTGCAAATGTTCCAGCGCACTCCCGGCCCAGGCCATCTACTAGACGGCCGTCTGCCTTGCAAGTCACCATCGCAGCGACCATGCAAGTGAGGCCAGAAACCTTGGTGCCCAGACTGCTGCACCTCCCGCCGGGTGAGCTCGGGGCGTACACACGCGCCCCAGCGGCCACATCAGATGGGGGCATCTGCTTTACCATCTTCGAGCCCAGACGACACGTGCAAATCCGAAGAGCAGGGGCTGACTGGACAATGATTGAAATAATTGCTGAGGCACAATCAGCGGTTGACTTCCGCGCGGCCCAGGTTCAGGTGCTAGCTCAGCCCATAGGTGGGTTTCCGGTGCCGCAGCTCGTCCTGACTCCTGCCCCGGCCGGGGCCTACACCGCCATGCCTTTCGACTGCCGTCCCTGTGGAGGGGGGGTCTACACCATAGTGACCCCTTTCACATACCACCATTCACAGGCTTTACAGGCTGCCGATGTGACAGCGTCCGGCAGGCTCCTTGCCGGCAGGGACATCGAGGACCTGCGCCTTGCTGATCAGGGCGGCCGTATAATCCAGGGAGCGATCCCCTTCGATGCGACTGAATGGCTGGAGGTGAGCCGGGCCGATGCAGAGGCCGAAGCCGAGGAGCAAGCCCTCATGCAGGTACAGGCGAGGCTAACGGAGGCCACTCCGCGCCCAAGGCAGGCTGCTAAGTCAACAGGCGATAGCAGGATTTTCAGGAGAAGCTGCGTCTACCGGGACACGCAGCCCTTTGGCCGCCCGGGAGCCCAGCCTGATTACGATGCGGAGAGGAGGCTGGCCTCAAAGCTGCCTAAGCCCCCCGCGACACCTCTGCGGGCAGACGACGAGGTCGCACAACCATGCGATAGGAATCCCAGCCGCGACCGCTCAGCAGTCGCATCCGACTCGCCTCCAGACAGGGAGCGCCGCTTCTATACCATCTTCGAGCCGAGGCTGGGGTACCGCAGGCGCCCATCACTCCCACAGTGGACACTTTGGCAGCACATCAATGATGCTATAAGACAAGTGCCGAACCCTGTCTGGCAGGCTTTTGTCATCACGGCACAGTTGCCGGGCTTTCCAGGCCCACAGATCACCCTCTCCTTCGCCGACTCCCCACAGCCAGGGCGTGCACTTCCGGTCGATCTCCGGCTTGTCGGGGGGGACCTGCACACAGTGGAGCTGCCATGGCAATGTGATGCGTCCATTGTATGGACGGCCCTGCAGGAAAAGGGGGCTGACCTGCCGGGCCGCTGGCAAAATTTCCAAGGCACAGGTTCGCTTTCCTTTTACAACCAGCTTGGTGAAGAGATCACTGCATGGGATCTCGCCGGGGACACCATCCAATGGGCGAGTCTTCGGGCTCAGCACGGAGAGGCGGCGGATTTTGACTGGAACACGGCCATAGCAAGCATGTCCACTGCTACAACAACGGCGGTGGCAACTGAGGACGCAGCCGGTCCCCCACCTTCCTTGCTGGGGATTAGGCCATACCGCGGGCCAGCCTTAGCTGCTCAGATCCAGATCTTCCCCCACTACCTGGCTAACACCGCACTGCACGCGATGACTGCGACTAGCCTACACCTCCATGAGGGCCGCGTGCAGACGAGCAGCAATTCCAGGGTGTACTCGCTTTTCTGCGGCCGGGACCCTCTCTGTTTCCGAAAAGCAGAGGATGACTGGACCGTTGGCCAGTACATCTCGGATGCAGCAACAGGCGCACAGGCAGATGTCCGTAGTGTGCAGATACTCAGTCTCCACCTCCACTCCCTGCCTACCCCACAAATTGTTACGACCCCTCTGGATTCGCCAGCTGGCTCCTCAATGGTCCCTGTGGACGCCAGGTGCATCGGGGGAGGCATACACACTATGGCGCTGGAGGCAGGCATGCCAGCGGCGGCCATCCTTGAGGCACTCGCCACCCAAGAGCCCCCGCTTTGGACGACGATACAGCAGCTTGCCGCCCTCGACGCAGCGTTCCTTCAGGACGCCACAGGCAATGTCTGGGACCTCTGCCCGGAAGATGTGACGTCCTTGCAATGGCTGGCTGTCCGCATTGACAGCAGGGCCAGTGCATTGCCCCTAGGTATGCAACCACCCTGCATTTCCATGGGCACGACCACTACTACCACGGGAGCGATGGCTGCCTATCACGGCGAGCACCTTGTCACCATTGTTTTGTCTGGCGGCGGAACGGTCCTTCGACTCGCTCCGCAGAGGGTTTCTCAGATAGATGTGTCAGCCAGCCTCACAGAACTTCTGCTAGTACTGGCGGCCCACGGGCGTTTACCGCGAGAGCCTGTTCTCTCCATCGCGGCGGCAATGCCGCGCACCATGGCGCAGCCGCGCCATGTCCTTGTGGGTTTTATAGTACAGGGCTTGGCGGAGGAAGACCATGAGGTCATCGTGCTCCAAGACCAGAGCCATGACGGCTCCCTCTTGACCGCGTTCACCTTGGACACCAACGTCATGCCGGAGCACATGCTAGCCCCCGCCCAGACGCGCCGAGGTTTTTCCATTGCACTGAACGGCTCGCCACTGCAAGGCTCACGCAGAGTCCTCCGGACAGGAGACCTCCTGCAGCTCCAGCAGGGAGCCCATTCAGCCCGGGTATGGACAGCGGCTTTTGCTTTCCAGCTAATCCCTGCCCTGCGACTCTTTGCCCTCAGGATCCGCCTCCCAGGGATGCGTCGCTACACGAGTGGATCCCTCACACCAAGAGCAGCTCAATCAGCAAGGAGGTACCTCTCCCAGGCAATCCAGCTCCGAATGCTGGAGCAAACCCTCGACCTGGGTGAGCCAGGGAGGAATAGCCACCCCGTTTTGGTCATGGGCCCAGGCCACGGCCCTTTGCTTCTGTACGTCCCGGCGGAGAGTGTGCCCGATGCACAGGAGGTTGCAAGGTTCCTCACTTTCTCAGGCCTTTTCGACCCAGGCACGGCATATGTCCTAACTGGCGCACAGTCCGGCACGGTGCCAGTGGTGGTCAGTGTACCCAGGCGAACTGAGGTGATGACTGTGCTGTACCCTTCGCCCGACGAGACCGATACCGTGCTGCAGCTTTTTGTGCCGCCCGAGTCTCCCCTGCACAACCTGGGCGCCTTGTGCCGACGAGGAATGGAGCTCGTCTACCCGGCATCCGTCACCCACGGTGCCGTGATACGAGAGCGAGCACAGAGGATTCGCTCAGCTGTGTCCTCGGCCGGGCACGCGGACATGTCCCTTTTGCAGACTAAGGCCAAGGTACTCAGGCGCAACCAGGACCCCGCTCCCCCTCCCCCTGAGCCAAGCGAGTCCCCATGCCCCGCACCTCAAGGGACCCCAGCTGTGCAGATTGCCACCCCTTTCGGGCGACGCCGGCTTGAAATCCACGCTCAAGGCCCACCGGCCACGGAGGCTACCCCGCCACCGGATGCCGGCAAGCAAACCCTGGTGCTTGAGGATGCAATCCCACCACCACAAGGGGGAGTTGGATGGGCGGTCACGAGCGAGATGCTTGACCAATGTTTGGAGATGCACGGCCTCCACAATTTGCATAGAGACCTCACTCCCCTGGACAGTGACCTCCGCCAGCAGGCAGCTGCCTGGCAGAGCCTCCCCGCATGGCAGCCCACCCGTCCGTGCGATGAGCTTTTCATCTTCACTGACGGATCTTTTCTCAAGGGCAAAAGTGCGGCCACGTGGGCTCTGGTGGTGGTTGCGAGGCAAGGCCGAAATGTAGGCAGTGTAGGTTTCGTGGCCGGTCGGGCCCAGACTCACGACCCACAGGAACCTTCATCATACCACGGAGAGCTCGCAGGTCTGATGCATGCCACTGCCTTTGCCTGCAAGGCACACTGCCCCATAGTGCATATTGGTAGCGATTGCCAGTCAGCTTTGCTTGTTGGCACCGGAGCCGCGGCGGCGCAGATGTCTGATCCCGCAGCTCGCGCTACCCAGGCACTGACTCACTTGGCGGGGATCTGCGGGACCCTCGTCCTCTGGCACAAAATCGAGGCTCACCGAGGATGCGCTTTCAACGAGCTGGCAGATGCCCTCGCCAAGCAAGTGGGGCGTTTTCAGGGACAGAGCCCATGGCCCTGCGACACCACGAGCTTTGATTATGCTGTCCAGGAGCACCTGATTGAGCAGCTGTGGCTCTCCTGTCATTGCATCCACGGCATACCTTGCATCTTGCCGAACGGACAATGGCCCGCGACCTCCAGCAGCCCAGTCCACCAGCAATGCGACCCCAGCCCGGCCGGGTGTGCCGACCAAGCCCCCCCAGAGGCCCTCTGCCAACTGCGCATGCGAATAGTACAGTACAATGTACTCTCCCTCTGCGGCGGAGCAGCCACGGCACTTATGGCCAAGGGCTTGAGCCAAAACGACATTGCGGTTGCAGGTTTCCAAGAGACTCGCCAGCGGCAAGAAGGGTTTAGCACCCATGAGGGGTGGTGGGTCCTCAGTGCTAGCTGTACGGAAAAAGGTGTCGGAGGCTCCCAGGTGTGGATCAATCCACGGTATGCAGGGCTCAACTGGGAACGCAAATGTGTTTCTGTCTTTCATTCCTCACCGCAGATCTTGGTTGTCCTCTCAAGGGTCAATGGGCTGGATCTAGCCATCGTTAGTGCACACGCCCCTCCTGCCACCAGCCCGGAAGATGTCCTCGACGACTGGTGGGGAACTCTGGCGCAGATTCTGGAAAAGGTCCCTCCGCGCTTCACGCTCCTTCAGTGCATAGATGCGAATGCCAGATTCCATCCTGAACCTGAGCGCCGGGCTACCCTGGAAAGGGCGCCCATTTGCGGCAATGCTCGGAGGCTAAGACAGCATGCTTTTTCTACGGAAGCCGAGCTCACAGACCTCTTCTCTCAGAGTGGGAATAAACTCGTGTCTTGGCGCAGCCCCGCGGGGCAAACCGCGCTCTTGGATTACATCCTCTTTCCAAGGGGCTGGAAGGCCGCTGCCACTACCGAAGATACCCCAGACCTGCAGGATCTCCACGGAGACATTGATCATGCGCCAATCCTGCTCACTCTTGATGTCTGCTGCGCGGCGCGCCAGGGAACCACCGAAACACGCATCGATGTAGCGGCACTTCAGACCCCTGCAGGGCAAGCCATTGCCCGGCGGGCCCTGGAGACAGTCCCTCCCATCCCGTGGGAAGTATGCAGCACGCAACATTTGGACTTCATCCACCGGCATATTTTGCAGGCTCTTCAGGAGCTGCCCAGAGCCCCCCTTAAGCCCCGCAATCCCGCTTACACGCCCGCCACACTTGACCTCGTGCGACGCAAGCGACACATCCGCAGGTGCCTGCGCACGGTCCGACAGCGCGGAGAACTCCTGCATCAAACGGAGCGTTCCCAGGGCCAGCATGATGTGGAAGGCAGTCAGGGCAGGTTCGAGGCACAGGCGCGGCAACAAAGATGCAACGAGGACAAGTGGGTCCAACTGCTACGGGATGTATCGGACGCACTCACCCTTTCCATGCAGCAAGACCGTGCTGCTTTCGCGCGGGCTGCTATTATCAATGCTCGTGCGGCGGGCCCCCGCGAGTTTGCTTACAAGTTACGAGCGGTCCTGAGGACTGGGCGACGCTTCCGGAGCCCCCCGCTTGTCCCGGTTTTCCAAGGCGAAGACGGTGTCACGGCGGGGCGCGAACCGGTCCTCGACACCTTCGCCGACTTTTTCTCACGTCCCGAGCGAGCGAGACCGGTAGCAAGGCGGAGCCTTTACAGCTCACAACTCAGCCCAGGCCCGCAGCCGCTCAAGGACGCCAGCGAAATGCCAAGCGTGGTGCAACTTTCCAGCGCAATTGCGCGTCTCAAGCGCGGCAAAGCGCCTGGTATCTCCAAGATACCTGCAGAAGTTTTTCAATGCAGCCCTATTGCCAGCGCAACAGCCATCTGGCCGGTGATGGCCAAAGCTCTGACACGGGACCCGCTACCCTTTCAGTGGAGAGGAGGCATGGCGACGGCTATCCCAAAGCCAGGCAAAGATGGATTCTCGCCTCAAGGGTACCGCTCGGTGATGCTTCTGGAGCCATCTGCTAAAGCGGTTCAAGCCGCTTTCCGGCCGTCCATACAAGAGGCTTTCGTCGCCCTCCGCACCCCTCTTCACTACGGAGGGCTCTCCGGGGCGCCCATTACCCTGCCCGCTTCCTGTGCCCGAGCCCACCTGCAGTACCTTAATACAAAGGGTCTATGTGGCGGCGCAGTCTTCATCGACTGTGCATCGGCCTACTACAGCGTGGCACGCGAAATCCTCGCAGCCAGGCCTGACCAGATCCGAGATGATCAGTGGGCGCAGGCCCGAGCAGCTGTCTTCTTTGAAGACGCCCCGAGCCGGCACGCCTTCATACAAGCGCTCAGGTCTCACACTGCTGCGGCCACGCTGGCTGATAATCCACTCCTGGCGCAATTCCTCGCCAAACAGCTTGACGGCACGTGGTTCGTCACAAGGACGGACACGCAGGTCATCATGAAGGCAGAGAGTGGGACGGCCCCCGGGTCGCCGATCGCTGATATTCTCTTCGGGATTGTTTTCCAGCGATTTCTTCGAGACATCAATGCCACGCTGGAGAAGGAGAACTGCCGGGCCTTCGCGTCTTTCGCGGCAGACGCACAGCCAGACATATCCGCACCAACCTGGGCAGACGATGTGTGCGTACTGTTCCAGACGGACACGCCTGCGGCCGCCCCGGATGCCGTGCAAGAGATCCTCCGCCACGTAGTGGCAGCCATGAGAGCCCAGGGCCTGGAGGCAAACATGGGCCCAGGTAAGACCGAGGCCATGCTGGTGCTGCACGGCGAAGGCTCCCGCCAAGTACGAAGGGCTCTTTTCTGCACCGCAAGCCCCAAGATTGCCTTCCAAGGGACGCAAGGCGGTATGGAGGTGCGACTCACACCCGAGTATACCCACCTCGGGTGTACCCTCCGTGCTGACGGCAATGAACTCCCTTGCCTCCGACACCGGGAACAGCAAGCGCTGCAAATCTACCGCCCGCTCAGGAAGCGTCTCCTCACGAACCCCTTCCTGACCGTCCGGGAGAAGACAGACTTGATCCAGTCCAGGGTGCTGCCTAGCTTTTTGCACGGCGCGGGGATGTTAACCCTCCGAAACACCAAGGACAAGGACAAGTTTGAAGACACTATCTTCAAAATCTACAGGGGCTCCTTTCGGCCAATCCTCGGGGTGTCTTGCCAGGGCTACACTAATGCTGAGATAGTGGCCGCACTCGGATTTGCCATGCCATCCGAGTTGCTTATCGTGGCAAGGGCGCGTACCCTAGCTGAGCTCGTCAAGGCTGACCTAGTACCCGTGCTGCGCTGCCTTGAATCGACCGCTACGTGGTGGACGGAGGCCATACGGGCAGCCGGGAGGGTCGGGATCCTCAATGACCCAAGCGTGAGTGCAGAGAATGCTGCATGCAACATTCAACATGACCCACGCACAGTCTCCCGACGCTGCCGGGCTTTCCTCCGTAAGGCCAGGGAGTCCCGACCCTTCGATCACGACAAGCTTGTGCCAAGGGAGCCCCCGGAAACAGTTTTTGTGACCACGGCCGGTGGCCCAGCCCTTCCCTGGCCATGCGACCAATGTGGCAACGCCTATGCCACCCGCAGACAGCTAGCTGTGCACCAATCCCGCCACCATGGCCGCAGACCGGCGGCGGTCTGCAGCGCTTTCGGGACCTGCTGCCAAAGGTGCCTCAAAGAGTTCTGGAGCCTCAGGCGACTTACGGAGCACCTTGCCAGGTCAGAGCCATGTTTGGCCGCATACGCTGCATCTGATTTGCAGCCGGATAATCCGGCGCCTACTAGCTGCGAATACGCATGGCAACCTTTTGCCAAGTGCGAGGGACCTCAGCCGTGGTGGTCCACTTTGACCCCCCCTCTCGAAACCGAGAGAGCGGTGTGAGGCTTCCCCTTTTTACATTTCATCCAATTTTCGAGGCATGCCCTGCAAGTGGCATTTTTCCTCACAAGGACCTGCAAGCGAATTTACCGCGCACTTTCAGTCTAGGGTGTCCGCCAAAAAACCCTAAACCCTCAACCCTAAACCCGTAGACACATAATTTCCTAAACCCTAAACCCCACACCCCTGATCCCCAAACGCCGTGTCTACCACCTCAAACATCTCTTTCAGGCCCATGACCCAGGACCAAGCCCCCAAACCCTAGTAGACAAACCTGAAGAGTACTTTTACGTGTCTAGGGTTTAGGGTTTAGGGTGTAGATATTTTCAGAGTTCTTATTAAAGCTTTAGTATTCTCTACCCCAACATGCTTTTCAACTCATTACTTAAGGTCCCTAAATTCCCTAAACCCTAAACCCTAAACCCTAAACTCTAAACCGTTCGATGCTTCTAGGTGCTTTTCGTCGGCGAGGCGCTTGTTGGAAACGACGCCATAGACCAGGCCCCCGGGTGATCAAGCACATCAGGAACGGTTTAGGGTCTAGGGGTTTAGGGGTTTAGGGTTTAGGGTTTAGGGTTTAGGGTTTAGGATTGCTCAAACTTTAGGCAGGGTTTAGGATTTAAGGGGGGTTTAGGATTTAGGGAGAGGGGTTGAGCTTTAGGGTTCAGGGTTCGTTCTTCAGAAGGATGTATATAAAGGGGGCTTTCGAACATGCTGTATGAAGCTGTGCCGGAGGCTGTCCAAGATTCATTGACTTCGACTGAGGCTCCTTGACCGGGGGCCCTTAAGTTTTTAGGGGCTTTATCCCAACTTGCATGAATCATAAGCCCCTCTTGAAGTGCAAACTGTAATGTCAGAAGCTTCAATTTCTTCTGTTTTAAATAGAGACCTGGGGTGTCCAGTGAGGCCGGCTGAGTATGGAATTATGTGAAAGGAAGCCCTGCGTGCAGGTCTGAGTGTAGCGGTTCGTATGCTGAGTGCAGCTAGTGTTCTGAACGCCGTTTATATGTAGCTCTTTTGTGGACCAAGGGAGGACGATCTTCAGGTCCGCTGCCCATGGTTGCGTGGCCTGGAGGGTGCAGTGTTGGCTGCACCTTTTGGGACATATGTCCCGTCGGGCGAGGCCAAAGGCCATGGATGTTGTTCCACCTCTGAACGACGGTGCTGCTATGGGTGAAATTTACTTTAGAGAGGCCGTTGGTTCTGAGTTTGACTATGTGGTCTTTGAAGCTTTGGGCGAGCGCTATGAAAGGCTTGGCCTGGCGGTAGGCCAGGTGATTCGAACCTATGAGGTCAACAGCGATGGTATGTTTTTGGACCTGCGCTACTTAGGTACCAACAACCCTTATTATCGCTGGTATATTGAAAACGAGGGCAAGGATGGAGGCCTACCTCGAGATGCTTACCATCACCTTTGCCGTCGTCATGCCTCTCGCTGCAGCCAGAACTTTGGAATGAAAGATGTGATTCATATTCAAAAGTGGGCTGCAATCTCAAGGGCTACTGCAAGTGACTTGTTGGAGTCCTGGGGGCTCCCGAAGCTTCCTCCTGAGCGAGCTCCCCGAGACGATGGCAAGAGGTTCACAGTGGGAAGCGGAGCGGGGTGCAGGCCCTGCCAGGTCCCAAGGTTGAGGAGCCAGAGCATGATGACGATGAAGAGGAGGACCCCGTCGGTGCTGCTGCTTCTCGGCCGGCGGTTAAGAAGCGAAAGAAAGGTTTGCCAAAGGCGGCGGCCAAGGAGGCGGTAGCTTTGGATGCCATGCTTGATGATGGCGCGGATTTCATTGCAGAGGGCAAGGACACGAAGGTCGAGAAGAAGCTTGGGCTACTTCGGGCGAAGCTTCTTGGAAAGAAAGAAGAAGTTCGATCTCGGGGCCCTGGCTCAGTGTTGGCTGGGCGGGCCGTGGAGGCGGCCGAGAAGGTGAAGACCAAAAGGTCAAAGCAGCCGAGCGTGATCCGCAATTTGCAGAAAGCGCTGGTCGGCAAAAGCCGAAGCCGGGGTTCTAAGGAACCAGACTCCTCAGGTGAGAGCGACGAGGACGCCGAGGAGGAGGACGAGGACCTGGACTTTGCAAGCTCTGGCTGGGAACAGCGGCGAAAGAAGCTGAGGAGGACTGCGGAGGAACGCCCCGGCAAGTTGTTGCTTTCTGGTTTGCAGGCTATGAGTGAGCAACTGGGACAGGTCACAGGGGACGACTCGACGGAGGCCATGTCCCCAATCATGGTCCGCTACCTCCTGACAATGGTGCTGCCGACTCACCCGATTAAGGTCATTGGGGAGGCGAAGTACCGGGAGCTTCGCACGCTATGCCAGGCTTTGGATGCTTTGTTGAAGGGCAAGGTGGATGCAGCCGGGGACCTTCTCATGCAGCGCTTCAAGTCCCTTGTCATGTCGCTGAGGGACAACAGTGATAAGTTTGGCCGGTTCCTGGAGCTCATCCCGGAGGAGATGATCGGTGTGTCGCCCGAGGAGACCTTTTATGCCAGAGAGTTGGCGCACAAGACCGCGAAAGCGGAAAAGCTGCTGGGCTAGGGACTCCGCGGGGGAGTGCTCAAAGCCACGAGCCTCTCTCAGCGCGACCCTTTATATCATCGGCAGCCAAAGAAGGAGCAGAGCCCAGAGAAGGAGGAGAAGGACGAGAAGCCAGCATCCCCACGCCGATCGCCATTGGCCCGTCGGAGGCCAAGCCCCATGCGGGGCAAGGAGGAGCGAAGGGTGACTTTCGTGGACGAGCCCCAGACGGAGGCCACCCCGAGGAGGATGCAGATGGCGGTCTCCGAGGCCAGGCAAAAGACACCGCGGAAGCCGGGCGAGACGAAGAAGGCCTGGAAGGACCGAGTGTTCCAGACAGCTCGGGGACAGACCCAAGGGTGACGGCCTTTGGGGGGAACGACCCTGGTGATGGCCGGGGGGTTTTTACAAAGGGTGTGGTGCCCGACCCGGGTGATGGCCTGGGGGTTTTTACAGAGGGGGTGGTGCCCAACACATGTACAGCTTCTGGTGTCGGCCAGAAAAGTGATGGGCGATTGCGTGCCTTTCTGGAGCTGCGGGATATGTGCTTGCATGGTTGTGATAGTTGCTTAAATGAGAGATTCGCTGGACTTCTATGCGAGGGTCTACCAGAGAGTCGTTGTATGTTGCAGTTGGGGATTACAGTGCTACAGCTCCTGCTTTGTTCACCACGAGATGGATCTTTCTTAGCCGGAGTGTGCGCTCTGGTGCAAACAAAAGCCACGCCTATTCTTAGGGGCCGGGACGTGTTACCTCTCCCCGTGCCTCCGATAGGAGCTGTTTTGCGCTTGTGCAGGTGCCTCACGCGATCATCAACGGGACTCTTCAGGTGGGACCCTCAGGACCTTAAGCATATGGGCAAGCAACAATCACGAAAGCTGGTGAAGGCCAGCTGTTTTCAACTTTGGCGTTTGCTCATCGTTGCGGTGCTTAATGGTGAGTACCAGTCCTGGGACGGAGATGGTTTTTGTGAAGGTGAGTTTCCGGGGAATGCCAGTCAAGCGAGTGCTTTCACACATTTGGATGAGTTGTGCAATTATTTTGCTAGAGCACCTCTCGATGAACGATGTGGAATGAGCCCTGAGGACGTGCTCAAAACCAAAGGGGTGGATTACACTGGGGATGAGGTTCTCCATGCACTTCCTTTGAAGGTCGGGGAACTTTTGCCGGGACTTCCTGCCGATGGTGTTGCCGGCAGCTTGCAGGCGAGCGATATTGCACAGGGTGATGTCGCAAAGTGGTTGTTGGATCCGGAGCTCGCGTTATTACCCCGAGATAAGTGGCCCGATCCTTTGCCGCGTGCCTCTATGAATTGTACCAAGGATGACTGGTATGAGTTAGTGCCACTGTTGGTAAAGAAGCGCATTTTGGAGCCCATCAGCAAGTCCGAGATTTTCACAGTCAGTGGTGTCCCTGTCCTAAATGGAGCGTTTGCTGTCCCGAAGAAGGGCACACCTGGTATTGGCCAGGTTCGGGTGACACGGCTCATTATGAACATGATTCCGAGCAATGCATTACAACGTCTGATGCAAGGGGACCTCGCTACACTGTCGGGTTCATCGGGGTGGGTGGGGGCCCATCTGAAACCGAATCAAGTCCTATTATGGTCGGTGAAGATCAACGGGGGGCATATTATGCATGGTCATTGCCGCGGGTGTGGCGTAAGTTCATGGCTTTCAAGTGGCCAGTGCCGGGCTATTTAATCGGAAGG